ATAGGCAAAAAAATCAAAAAAGTGACTTTTCCTAAGTCTGTAGCTCTTCCCCTAGGCAAGTTAAGGACCAGCCGCTTGTGCGGGGGAGTTTCCTACAACCTGGTCTATCGATTAAACCCTTAATTCCAAATCTGGATGGGTAGTTTTTGAGGAAATCGATAATTTCCGAAAAAATAGGCAAAAAAATCAAAAAAGTGACTTTTCCTAAGTCTGTAGCTCTTCCCCTAGGCAAGTTAAGGACCAGCCGCTTGTGCGGGGGAGTTTCCTACAACCTGGTCTATCGATTAAACCCTTAATTCCAAATCTGGATGGGTAGTTTTTGAGGAAATCGATAATTTCCGAAAAAATAGGCAAAAAAATCAAAAAAGTGACTTTTCCTAAGTCTATAGCTCTTCCCCTAAGCAAATTAGGGACCAGCCGCTTGTGCATGGGAGTTTCCTACAACCTGGTCTATCGATTAAACCCTTAATTCCAAATCTGGATGGGTAGTTTTTGAGGAAATCGATAATTTCCGAAAAAACAGGCAAAAAAATCAAAAAAGTGACTTTTCCTAAGTCTATAGCTCTTCCCCTAGGCAAGTTAAGGACCAGCCGCTTGTGCGGGGGAGTTTCCTACAACCTGGTCTATCGATTAAACCCTTAATTCCAAATCTGGATGGGTAGTTTTTGAGGAAATCGATAATTTCCGAAAAAATAGGCAAAAAAATCAAAAAAGAGACTTTTCCTAAGTCTATAGCTCTTACCCTAAGCAAATTAGGGACCAGCCGCTTGTGCATGGGGGGTTCCTACAACCTGGTCTATCGATTAAACCCTTAATCCCAAACTGGACGGGTAGTTTTTGAGGAAATCGGAAAGATTTGAAAAAAGGCCAAAAAAGTGACTTTTCCTAAGTCTATAGCTCTTCCCCTAGGCATGTTAAGGACCAGCCGCTTGTGCGGGGGAGTTTCCTACAACCTGGTCTATCGATTAAACCCTTAATTCCAAATCTGGATGGGTAGTTTTTGAGGAAATCGATAATTTCCGAAAAAATGGGCAAAAAAATCAAAAAAGTGACTTTTCCTAAGTCTATAGCTCTTCCCCTAAGCAAATTAGGGACCAGCCGCTTGTGCATGGGAGTTTCCTACAACCTGGTCTATCGATTAAACCCTTAATCCCAAATCTGGACGGGTAGTTTAAGAGGAAATCGAAAATTTCCGAAAAAATAGGCAAAAAGTGAAAAAAGTACCGAGTTGTGAAGCTTTTCTAAGACCGTAGGGGGTGGGGTAGGGTAAAAATTGCCCTAAATTTCATGCAGACAGGTAGGTGAAACGCTACTGAATCCATTGGTACCACTTTTATGAGAATCTGACGGGTAGTTTTTTGGGAAAGCGAATTTTTCGAAAAAGCGTCTCAAAAAAAAAAAAATACCAGATCTCATCTGGAAAAAAAAAACGTTTTCATAATACCTGTTTAATAAATCAAACAGGAATTTTAAACCAAAACAAAAGATAACCTTTGACACAGAGGCGAAGCAGACCTTCGCATCACTTGCGGTAGAACACAAACATAAAAAACAAAAGCAGAAAAAACGAAAAATATTCAGTAAAAAACAAAGCCAACTAACAGTTGGAAAACGTAATGAACGCAAGGAAACTGAAAAAAAACGGACGTGTTTTTTCAAGAGCCTTCACATTTTGAATTTCGAAGCAAAAAAAATGGCCTTAAAGCTCTTTGAATTTGTAAAACAGTTTACGATGGACACTTTTTTGCTAAAACTAACCCAATTTGAGAAAACAAGATCAATACATAAAACTTTTATTTCGCTGGGAAATCTGATAATTAATTGTCATTTTCGAAATGAGAAGTCGATCGATCACGTTTTTCGTGACCTGGAATTTGCTTTCCTTCTAACAATGAAATTTCACTGAACTTTAAAAGAAATCACAAGTCAAACCGCGAAAAACCAAAATTGAGCGTGAACAAATTTTAAGACCTTTCCCTAAAAAAAACAAAAAAAAAAATCAGCAAGAACTTCATAAGAGTACTCAAAACTATCATTACTCTTAACTAGGTCTACCCAAAATTTAAATTTTTGTAAGCCTCGATAGAACTTCATTTCAGGCAAACACACCAGGCATTTGAAGATTAAATTAGCAAGAGAACTAAACAATCTTTGATCGGACACAAATGGAGCCGTAAAAAAAAACAATCATTTAAAAATTTTTAAAAAAAATCAACTAAAAATTAAGAACAATCATAATGAAAAATAATTCAAAAAACTAATTTAATAATATGAATTTAATTCTTAAAATTTAAAAAGTCGCGCTGAAACTACATTAAACCAGACTTGCACTTGCAATTTTTTTTCCTGTAATTTTTTCCTGTAAGTCGCCCTGAAACTGCATTGAAGAACACTCGTACTTGCAGCCACAAAAAAAGTTGCTAAAAGAAAAAGCAAAATCCGTGATAAGGCATCAAAGCCGATAACCTATAAGCAGACACAAGTTGAGCCGAAAAAAAAAGAGTTTATGAACAAAAGTTCAAGCCCCTGTGAAATTACAAGAAGACTCTCAATTGCAAAAACAATGAAAGTTGCTTACAGCTCAAGCAAAAACCGCGATGTGACAACTAAGACGACAAAACTAGAGCAGACAAAGGAAAATCCGACTATTCAATTTTACCGGACAAAAATTCAATAGCATAAAAACAAGGTCTGGCTGGGACTCAAACCTCTGACCTTCGCGTGCAAAGGCCAAGTGGGAACGAACCTGGACGTTCTTAAGCATCAATAAAAAAGCAAGTAAGATTTGTAAGAGAAGTTGTTCACGGGAAAAAAAGTCTAGTTCCTGATTACAAGACAATTGCTTTCGCATGTGTAAAAAGAACAGGTATTTGAAGCATGTGTCTGTTGGTTGACAAAAGTGCAAATTTGAGAACATGATTGAGTGCTTTTAATGGATAAGTTGTTTGGAAGAAAAAGTCTCTTTTCCCAATTCATAACTCTTCCTAATCGAAAGCACATTCATCGTATACGTAAAAATTCCGTGCACATTGATGAACATATAAAAAAATGAAAACAAAAAATTATTCAAAATATGTTTAATACGATTTTTATTTAAAAAAAAAAAACTTCCGCAAAAATTGTTCAAGCTTAATTACTTAAATTAATGGGGCTTTAGAAATGGTATTCAAGCTGAACCTTCAAAAAAGAGTATGTGCTACGGAAACTAAGACAACAAAATACAAAGACGGACGATAGTCTGAAAAAGTATAAAACTTCTGTTTGAAAAAAAAAACGGTCACCGTTAGATTCGAATCAGAAACCTTCGTCATCTCAAGCAGGTTTGTTACCTCTACGCCATATGCGCTGATGGTTGACTGATTTTGAATTTATTATGAAGCCAGTTGAGTATCTGAGAAATCGTGTGAACAAATTGTTTACGGAAAAAAAGTCCAGTACCCGGTTACAGCACCCTTGCCTATCGCAAGATAAAGACTTTTGTTAACAAAATAGCACAACCTATAAAAGAGTTTTCACTCAAGAAAGGAACTTATCAAATCGCAATAAGCGTAACAACAGAGGCGAAGCAGAGCTTCGCAAAACTTACAAAACAGCAACTATATCAAAGCAAACCAGTCGACAGAAAATGCGACAAAAAATGCCAACCATAGCCGCTAAATCGGAAAAATCATTCTTGAGAAAATGTACCGAAAGCTAATTTGGGAAAGGATAAAACTTATAAACCGGAAACAAAGCCGGCAATACTTGAGCAGATCGATTTTTTAAAAGAAGAGATGCTCAAAATTTGACTGCTTTTTGACGAAAGTAAAGACTCGGAAATCTCAAAATATGCACAGATGCAAAGCTGAGCTTCGCACCACCGGCGATGCAACAAGTATAGGATTTAAACCGCAAGACACCAAAGAACTATCAAAGAGGACAATTAGCTGAAATTAGCTGAAAATCAATCAAAATTGTTCGGCGAACTCTTATTGGAAAATATACATGTACTGCCAAAATAGTATCTACGAAAGCCATATAGCTATAAATTAAAGGTGGTATAGAAAGTTCGGAAACTAAACCGAGAGCTAAATCGAAAAATCAACAGCAAAAAAGTTATATCGATGTTTTAGAAGTTACATACAACCAATCTAACAAAAAATGAAGATAGTTTTGAAAAAACCATTCAAGGCAATTGAATGCAAACCAACATCGGAACAAAACTTAACAAAACCAGCAGAAGCACTTTATGCCGAAAAAATTCTTTATAACAAAAATCATGAGTATCACCCTTCCCCTCAGAGCACACACGCACACAAAAACTTTTCTCGGTTATCAAACAATGCAATGAGGGGCCACTAAATAGATACTAAAAATAGACGAAAAAGACTAAGTCGAAAAAAGAAGACAAAAATTTTCAAAAAAATGAAATACTAACAAATCGAGTTGATAAAATTACAGCCAATGTAAAAACCCAATTTCGATACGGCCGGATTTTTAAAATGCTAAGACATTAAGCAACTGCAATCAAATTTGTTTGCACCGAAAAAAAAGTGTTCTTAGATCTGGCAACTAAGCCGATAAAACATAAGCAGACAAATAATAGGCCTGAAACTTTTTTAACCGGAACTTTAACCTTTTGCAAAAAAAACAAGTCCTGGTCAGATTCAATCCCAGGACCTTTGCCTTCCCAGGCATATTCGTTACCTCCCGGCTAAGCGTGCAGGCAAAAGTCAGAAACTTGAATTCGTTATGAACTACGGTACTACCAGGAGTCGATGAGTCCTGTGAATAAAATTGTTTACGGGAAAAAAGCCTAGTACCCAAAATATTTAACAGGAAAAAAATCACGTTTTATAGTTCTTTCTAATCGCAAGCAAACAAGATTTTGAGCAATTTAAGTAGCTCTTACCTGTGCATTGTTTCAGACCAGAGCGATTATATATTTTTTATATTTATGCAGCAAACTAAATATGTTCAATAATTTCTCATAATTGTAGTTCAATTTTGTATTACTAACTGGGACTCCTCAGTGACCGAGTGAATTGTTTGCATGTGTCGGTTAAGAGAAGTTCGGTTCGAGAACTCTCGCACTCTTGGAATGCAGAGATTGCATAGGAACAGCTGTGGCTTAGTTCTCGCCTGCGAAACTCCATTGGCAGATGTAATCTGTTCCTCAGATTCTTCAGAGTGACAATTGGAATGCTGTTGCAATTGCTGTTTGGAGGCACATAGATTGCCACATTTCGAACAAGGAAACATTTTCGCCTCTTTCGCCAGGCCAGAGCTCATGATTTCTCTTTTAGACCATGTCTTCTGAATACAAACACATGTTTTAGGGCTAGTTTTGATTATTTAACATAGATGGAAGTGCCAGTAAATTTTTAAAAACCTGGAAAAATTTGCAGATTTGTGAAGTTTTGTAATTCAAAAAATATCTCCTTAGAATCCAATTTCGAGAACCTTTATGATTGGCACTTTTTAAAAAACTGACCTAATTTGTGAAAACTGTTCAATAGGCAATATCTTTTTTAGTCGTCCGGGAAATTTAAAAATTACAGAGGTGAAGCTGAACTTCAAAAACAAGAATTTATAAAAGCATACTTCACTAAGTCAAGCCAGGCAAATTAAGCATCTGTGAAGATGAAGGAGGAAAATCAATCACAAAGAATCGAAAATTTGCTTCTGAATAAAAAGCTTTAAAAGTACTTTGTCGCAGATTAGTTTGATAAAATACCCGTAAAAAACTTGTAACGCAATTACGTGCACAAGACGGCAATATTCAACGGAATTTCAATTATGAAACAGTGCTTAAATCATAGGGAAATTTTGTGAGGTGGAAACAAAGAAGACAAAAATCAGCAGACAAACAAAAACAAACGTCTGACAAATAATTCTTGTCAACGGAAAAAAATTCAAAAATTTTCTGCGCAGGCATTTGCAATGTCTCAACGCCAAATATGCGTATGGACGCCTTCATTTTGATTTAATATGATCGGAGGATTCAAATGATTTTGTAGTTAAACTAGTTTCCCAGCAAAATTTCTATATTCCTACTTGATAACGCTTGCTAATATCAAGCGTAAAAAAGAGTATTAAAAATTCAAATTAAACAGAAGCGAAGCTGCACTTCATTAAAAACAGCAAAAAGCAGCTAAATTCAAGAAAACACAAAAATGAAAAAAAAATCTTCGAAAAAGAAAAACAATTTACTGATTCAAACCACCGAGTTTGAATTAGAATTAAAATAGTTTACAGGATAGTTGAGCACTGATTTACGCAATTTATGTAGGCTAAAATGAACTCGTAATATAGCACAAGCGGAACCTTGTTAACTATCCCCTTCCCCTATTGCAAAAGGGAAGAAAATAGTTACTATGTACACAATTCATATATGATTGCCTCTTACCTTAGTCCTTTATAGTGATGGCAATTCTTTAGGGGTGGGGGGGGGGTGATAGTTAGCTAAATCCCACAAGCATTTGCTTATGCAAGTATTCAAATTTGAGCGTACATTTTTTATGACTTTTTCGTAAATGTCGTCGCTTGGTTCATTGAGATTTAATAAGCATAGCCAAGAGACAGTTGGAAAAGAGTCAATAAATGCAAGGAAACAAACAAAAGATGCTGGCTTGTTTTTTGAAAACTTCAACTGTCAAACAAAAAAATATATGACCTTCTTTGAATTATAAGAACAATTTACCATTGATATATATTTTTTGATGAAATCAAAACTCAATTAGAGAAAACTGGATCGAAATTTGAATATTTTATGTCGCTGGGAAACTAGAAATTTATTTCTTTTCAAGACCTTCCCTTAAACTTTCGCTATTCCATATCCGCTGTCTTTTTAACAAAGGAATTAAACTGGACTTTAAGAAAAACAAAAGTCAAACCACGAAAAAATAAATGTGAGCCTGAAAAAATTTAATACTTTTCATGAAAAAAAAACGAAAAAAAATCATTCCGACCTAAATAAATGATTGAGCTACGTTCATCGATTATCAAAAATGAAGGAACCGAAGAAAACACTGCATGGGAAGAATCCATAACCTTTGTTGAGACATTTCACGCAATAGAGGTGAAAGCAAAAGACCTCAAAGACCAACTTTCAGGAAAAGAGTTTGATCAAGTCAATAAAATTTTTATTATCTCTCGTTATCTCAAAAAAAAGCCAAAAAATTTAATGAAAGTTACCGATTTTTTTTTTCAACACAGCTTCACATCCCTTCTGATACATCACAAGAAAATTACAGCAAGCTAGCCGACAAAATGCGACGAAAGTCAAATTTTTGTGACATAGTGGCGGTGGTGCACAACAATCATATGCTTGCTGGTTCAAATCGCATGTGCACTCCAATTTGCAAGTCAAGTCTAGCTTAATGGGCGCTTGGGCTACCAAATTTTTCATCCGTTTAACTCAAATGAAGTGCATTTAGGGGAGATAATGTCATGAAAAACAATTACTAGAATCAACGCTTCATTGAAACAAAACTAACAAAGCGATTAGTAAATTGACAGGACTTGGTCAGACAAAAAGCTTGTCAAAATCAGTTTGAGCGATGAAACATTTCGAAATTTTTAGAACTAGCCGCTAGACGAAAGCATAGCCATCATTCACTTGGAAAAGAGTCAATGAACGCAAAGAAACAGAAAAAAAGTTTTCTTATTTTTTCAAAAAAAAGTAACTTGCGAATTTCATAGAAAAATATATGAAATAAAAAAGGGCTTTACCGGCCATATAATTTTTTCTATGAAATTCGAAAGTTTATTTTTTTTTAAAAAAAAAAACAAGGGAGTTTTTTTACTATTTCTTTGCATTAATTGGCAATCATAAATTGATCTTGAAATTAAAAGAGCTTTACGGCCAAGATCAATTGATGATTGCCACTCTTTTGATAAAATAAGCCCAATTTGAGAAAACTGAATCAATAGGCAAACTTTTTATTCCATTTAGAAACCTGAAATTTAAAATCTACTTTAGAAAATAGACCTTTACACTTTTGCTGTTGGATAGAGGAGTTTGCCTTCCTTTTAAAATAAATGAACTGAACTGAAGAAATCAAACTCAGTCCGCGAAAAATCATATCCTAAAAAACGCCATCACGATCTATGCGATTAAATTTTGAATCGAGGGGATTTTAAAATGTTTCAGTGATCAAATATTAAGCCTGGAAAAAGTCACGTTTCGATTCGATAACGCTTGGTAATTGCAAGCGTACATGTTAATCTTGTTAAAACTATTACTATTTTCGATTGCTTAAGCTTTTCTGGTACTTTTGATAAACTATTATTGAGAAGATATAGAAACTAAATTTCCTTAGTCTATAATACCTTCTCAGCTTCTTAATGGAAGACCCAACAACCTTTCTCCCTATCAATTGCTTCTTATCGCAAAAAGAGATACAGTTCGATTAAGAAGCTGAACTTGTCTAGACTTCTTTATTCGATTAGGCCTATTGAAGAGAGTGGTGCGTTGAATGCAATTAAGATCCCGAAAAACTTACATCCCTTTTTCTGTGAAAGGAGACCAAATGTGTGGTGAGTAGCTCGAAAGAGGAGAAACATTTGCCACACAGCTGGCAGATCAAGTAGCTCACTCCGTGCTCACCCTCACAATGTCGCTTCAGTTCCATTTCATCGCTGAATGAGTGACGACAATCTGGACACTACAAAATACAAAGCGACCATTTAACTTTGAATGCGTGATTTTGACTGTAGTCGCTCGTGTTCTCAGTGATATAATAAAATTAGCATAAATACATGTTCAATAAGGATAAAAAATCTTCCATCAACAACAACAACGCCGAAAAAGCTACATCGGAATTGGTCGGAACGCTTGTTATAAATATTTAAGTAATTTTCCAACAGCCGTTCCAAATGCTTTTTAATCTAAATGAGTCTCGCACTGAGATTTAAAAAAGTTCACGGATGAAAGTTAAGCACCACCTTATGGCGGAGTTCTGCATCGCGTTCGTTTAGACAACTCATCTGAGTGTCTGTACATCTTGAAGAGTTCACTATTTCCTCTACACTAGTAGTGCCGCCTCTTTGAGTAATCGACGACCCATCGTGTCCATTCATTGTATTGGCCGCAATCGATGAGACCACTTCTTCGATATCTGTGCTTTGGATTACAGGAAGAGATTGCACGGGCAGGGCAACAACTGAAACAATGAATTCAGTCAAGGCCCCATCTCGCATGATTTACTTTGACTTCGAATTTAATTTAAAATAGCGTGTAAAGCACCTCCGGTACTTCGAATTTTCAACAACTCAAAAAACTATTTTTTGAGTGTACTCTGACAGCACCCAATACAGGGTTCGTAAATACAAATTTTGCAAAGTTTTTTATTCAAGTTTTTTATACAAATTTTGAAGAACCATAAAATTTTGTGAAGTTTTATATAAGTTCTTCGAAAAGTTTAAAATGAACTAAGAAACGTCACATCTGGGAAACTGAAAGCAATTGAGCAGTCGCATTTGGACGCAAGATTTGCAACTCCTGAGAGTACTCTTACAGTACCCAACTACAACGTTGGGAAGTTCAAATGTTGAGAAACTTTACCTTAAATTTTCTTATCTCGAAAACAACCAATATTTGAGCAGTCTTTTTTGATGGCAATATTCGCAATCTTTGAAAGTAGACAACTACAGGGTTGGGAATTTCATTTTAACGAATTATTTTGTAATTTGAGTTTTCTGAAAATTTCCAAAAAAATCACACAAATCGTTGTAAATCTTAAACAAAAATGATTTGGGCATTCTTAAATGGAGGCAGAATTTGCAATCCCTGAGATTACTCTGACAGCCCCACAACTACAGTGTGGAATTTCAAGCTTTGAAAAAAAAAAATTAATTTTCATTAAAAACGTAATATCTGGAAAACTGCACGATTTTGAGCAGTCCTTTTTGGAGGCAAAATTCACAACTCCAGAGAGTACCCTGACAGAGCCTCCTTACAGAGATAATAATTTCAAGCATTGGGAAGTTTTTTATTATTAAGTTTTCTGAAAAATTTTGAAAAAAAAAATCCAAAAAAACGTCATTTCTCAAAAATTCCAAAAAATTTAGCAGTCATATTGAGAGGCAAAATTCGCAACACCTCAGAGTACCCTAGCAGAGCCTCATTAAACAGATAATAATCTCAAGTTTCGCGAAATTTTTTATAATTAAGTTTTCTGAAAAAATTTTGAAAAAATCCTAAAAAAACGTCATATCTCTAAAACTACATGAATTTGAGCAGTCATTCCTAGCGGAAAAATTAGTTAGACAGAGTCTAACTACAGAGATGATAATTTCAAGTTTTGTGAAATTTTTTATATCTAAGTTTTCTGAAAAAATTTGAAAAAATCCAAAAAAACGTGATATCTCGAAAACTACGAGGATTTGAGCAGCCGTAATCAAAGGCAAGATTCGCAACCCTTGAGACTACCCTGACAGAGCCTCCTTACAGAGATAATAATTTCAAGCATTGGGAACTTTTTTATTATTAAGTTTTCTGAAAAATTTTGAAAAAAAAAAATCCAAAAAAACGTCATTTCTCAAAAATTCCAAGAAATTTAGCAGTCATATTGAGAGGCAAAATTCGCAACACCTCAGAGTACCCTAGCAGAGCCTCATTAAACAGATAATAATCTCAAGTTTCGCGAAATTTTTTATAATTAAGTTTTCTGAAAAAATTTTGAAAAAATCCTAAAAAAACGTCATATCTCTAAAACTACATGAATTTGAGCAGTCATTCCTAGCGGAAAAATTAGTTAGACAGAGTCTAACTACAGAGATGATAATTTCAAGTTTTGTGAAATTTTTTATATCTAAGTTTTCTGAAAAACTTTGAAAAAATCCAAAAAAACGTCATATCTCGAAAACTACGAGGATTTGAGCAGCCGTAATCAAAGGCAAGATTCGCAACCCTTGAGAGTACCCTCACAACATCCAACAACTGGATTGAGATCTTCAACGTTTTGGAACTTTTAAAATCAAAGTTTTTGAAAATTTTTTGAAAGAATCATAAAAAAGTAATATCTCGAAAACTACAAGGATTTGAGAAAAGAGAATTGGAGGCAAGATTCGCAACCCCTGAGAGTACCCTGGCAGCACCCAACTACAGAATGGGAATTTCAAAAATTGAGAAACTTTTCTAAATTATATTTTCTAGAAATTTTGCTTATCTCGTAAGCTAAAAGGATTTGGTTATTCATATATGGAGGCCAGAATCGCAAAACCTGGGAAAACTCTGACAATATCCTAATATTGGGTTGCTTATTTTAAACTTGATGAAATAAACACTGAATTTAAACTGGAAAATCGAAAAAAAACTTAACCATTGCAATATACGATATAGCTTAAACGTGAAAAAAATTCTTTTGTTAAACATGCAAAAATAATACGTTGAAAAAGCTTAAGCATGGCGAGATAGTGAAGCCCGTATTTAAATATATAATAAATAGATAATAGATGAAATTTAAAAAATTAGGCGACAGGTAGACAGACATAATTAAATTATTTTGAAAAACAAGTATACAGACAGACAGACTTAATTTGGCCTCGAAAAAAAAAATACTGAAAAATTAATGACCTTGCGGAAAACTAATTGAAAAATTTTCTTAAGCATTGCAATATATGATATAGCTTAACAGGGGCGGATCTAGGATTTTCTCGAGGGGGGGGGCGGATTTTCAAAAAAATTCGAACATTTTGATGACTTTTTTTTCTAGGTCGACCGAATTGATTTTTGAGCTCTTCCTAAGCATGGTATGGTCCCTTTTTCGGCAAAACTTTCTGCGCCGCAGGCAAAAAATTGAAAAAACAGTCCAAAAAGCCGTTTTTGGGCACTTTTTGAAAAATGTTGACAAAAAAATCGCGTTTTTTTTTTGGCGCGCTCTCACCATCAAAGTTAGTATATATTGGCGCCAAAGGCGTCTTTAGAAAAATTTTAGGGTCGATGATAGATAGATAGATAGATATAGATTTACTTGTCGATCTACCTGAAATGCATTGTTCAGTTGCAATTGGCTGAGTTCTCCGATCGCCAATGTTTGTTTTTACCAGCGAGGAATCATCATTTCCGACACAGCTCTGATACTCCCTGTATACATTGGCAAGATCTGATATTTTGGAAGAGGGAAGAGGAATTGCACTCTGATCGGACTCCATCGAATAGTATAAGGCATCTGAACTGATATCTACTTGAGATCCCACTATCACTTCGCCAATCTTGTGCTCCTTTTCAATGTGGTATCTAATCTAAAACATGAGCAAAAGGTGGTCGAAAAAGTTATACTGAACTCAAGTAACAGAAAATAACAGAAAGTAAAAGAAAATAACGACACAAGCCAAATTGCACTTCGCATGAAAAAGTAACAATATATCTGATTTTACTAGTCAAAACCATTCCACCATTACAACTCTCTAAAAATTCTAGTACACGTTCAAATTTCATTTGAGTAGCATTAATGGTTTTTAAGCACCAACCAGAGTTTATACCAATCAGAGTATATAGGCTGACAAATTTCGGAGAATAAATAAATTTACAAATTACCTTTCTGATAAACTTAAGCGCAACACTTTTTGCTTGTTGATACCAACACAGCTCATTTATGCGATTGAAAAATAAATCTTTCTTAATGTTCCGACCATTGAAAGTTGTGACCACCAGTGTTTTAGTTTTTTTTTGTTTTCCACGCAAAATCAGCTACCAAAAAAAATTATCGGACTAGATTGAGTGATATATCATATTAAAGCCTATCAATTGTGATTCGAACGACATCAAAAATTCTCAAAAAAGTTTTCCCGGTGTCGAGAATAACCGGTTTGAAATTTTTGACTTTTCGTCTAATTTCGAGCGAGTGAGCAGGCTTATATTAGCTTAATTTAAGCCTTGAAAATTTAGTTGTACTCGAATGAAGTTACTTTTAGGAGTTTTTAGCTTCATCTAAGGAAACGAAAACTTCATAAATTTGGGAAAATTTTTTTGAAAAACTATTAAAAATTTTTTTTATTTTTTTTGTTTTTCTTATTTGTCTTCAAAAATTGTTTTTCAATTTGCATATTTTACATGACTGACACAAATTCCTAAGCTCTACTTTTTCGCACAGATTCCTTAATCATACAAAGCCGGAAAAAAAACGACACTAATTGGAAAAATAATTTTGTTTTAATTTTTTAAGACTGGGCGGAACAGTCTGTGCTACTTGCACAGTAACCGGCTATCCTTGTTTTTATAATTGTTTTATTAAGAAATGTCGATCTTTCGTTTACTACCCCTAACCCCTTGCAGAAGGGGTAAATTCGTAAAAGATGCCATGGGGGTGGGTAGTTAACAATTTCTCCTATTGTTCTGACCAAAACCTGATTTGTAGACACAAAAAAATCACCCAGTAAGTATTTTTTACTTTCAATGACTTTTGCGCATGAATCAAGCTTTTTCCTAATTAAACGTTAACAGCCAATTTATAGATTTGATAAACAAAACGGAGAGCAGCATTTACCCTCTGGAATTATGGAACTTGAAGTTTAAATCAACTATTGACAAAAAAAAAACAATAATTTACAGGCCTGTCAAATCTCCAGGCAGCAATGAATGCGCTGTAATAAAGCGAAAATAAAAAAATTTCCCAAATTGAACAAAAATATACAATAAATTTGAAAATGCGCAACTTCCGTGGGGAAAAGCGACCTATGATCTATAAATAATCTTCTATATAGCAAATTGATTTAGATTTGATTGAACGTTAAACACAATCATCAATTCAAACTGATACAGAGACGAAGCCTAGCAAAGCTCTACTTTTTCTCATTGCCAAGCTTTACTTTGTAACATACGCATGAAATTTAATATCGCAGGTGAGATGAAGAAGATCAAAAAGTATGACAATGAGAAAAAAACTCGGTTTTTGTGAAATATCTAATAAAAAAAACTTCATTGTATATTGGAAAAGGCCTGGAAAAAACATCAAAAAAAATTGTCATAGCACAATAAAGACTATAGTTTTTCACAAACTTATCGAACATAGTCATAAATCTCGAAACGAATCTGAACTTCAGACTTCAAATTTACATTAATTGAAAGTTTGAACTTCTAAAAACGCAATTCCTAAGAAGAACGCTTTAAAATAAAGTAAATAATGAAACTATTTAAACTGTATGAGGTCTCATCGCGTACACAGTCAGCGATCAGAATATTTCCACTGCCAAAATTAACAACTAATTCTCAGCATACAATAAAACCAAATGACTTTTCATCACAATGCAACCAATTCTAAGTCCCAAAAAGATAAGTTGGATAGCATTTCAAGTGTCATTGTAAGAAAACGTGTACTTTCTTACATGGCACCCGAATAGTTTCCCGAACTTCCAACCTGCAGTTGCTTCTGAGCCGATGCAACAAAAGATGGCAAGTAGCTCCAGGATCACCCGAAACTGGGTTGACTGAAGGATATCTTATTCCACCTTCAACCCAAAAGTTATCAGACACCGTTTTGGCTCTAGATCGTTGGAACCCGCCATGACATCAGCTTCATCAGAGCGTACACTGGACCCCTGGTACCACCGATAGAAATTTTTGCGCACCTTATCATGTGCATGCTTGCCACCACCTAATGTCAGTTGGAGAAAAATCCAACCCAGGAACAAACAACCCAATCGTAACTTTGATTTGGCATATCAAAAAATGAGGCAGGCGGGGAGATCTGAGGAGGGAACCCAGAATTCTTCTCAATCAGAGGGAAAGCTTCTCAAAGGACGGAAGTCTAATGACGTTGACCTTACCAACGTAGATCTTTCTATACCTGAAGTTGAATAGTTCAAACTATGATTCGTTTTATGTTATATACTTCAGTGGGAACTTTCTATATCTACAGCTGAAAAGTTCATGTTTATAATAAATTTGCAGATTTCGTATTTGTTTATAAGATCGGGTGCTATTATTATAAAGATGATATAATAATTTTCTAACATTATTAAGAAATAAACAAAGCAATATCCTTGCCGCAAAGCTATCTGTTACTCATTACTTCACATGACTGTTTAAAAATGTGAATACCAAACCCATCGAAAAATTCAAGAAGCTAGCCTAACAATCACAGACCGTTTACCCTCGCATAAACCTTTCTGGGACGTTTGATTATATTGAAGTTTAAAAAATGCAACAACCTTGGCAAAATAAAGAACGTTAAACCGTTGGATGCAAAATTTCGGGCATTGGAATGATCAACTGCCCTGACTAGCGACCGTAATCAGAATTTGACAGTAAATGAAACTAATCAGTTTTAAAAAAAATAAACAACTTGTTTACGGTGCAAATTTCCTGTGCTTATTTTAGCTAGAGTTTTTAACCGAACATGTTTTGATTCCAAACCATAAACTATCATTACTACAGATTTCATCATTCATCTATCTTAATTCTTACTAGCCTGTACCGCAACTCCAGTGCTTCAAACAGATTAAACGTGAAAACTGCTTAAATAAAAAAATTATGAAAAAAAACAATGAGATTATTACAACTAACAACTTACGAGGGCATCTAACAGCGCTTTTTTTCTTCAAAGAACTAATGATTCAACTAAGGTGCTTTTGATACCAAAATGGCCAAAAATACTGGGTTTCTGATCTTCGTATTTTACACTCAGAAACAAACCCTAAAACTGCCATTAGTATACAACTGGACTTTCCATGCTAAAAGATTTGGCAAAATCACTGAATTCATAAATAACTCTTGCTTACTTAGTTCTTTCTTTTCAATAGATAATTCAGCGTAAATTAAATTTAAAAAATAAAACTCGAATCATGCTCCAGCTCTACATGATTGACAAGAGAACCCAAATATTAGATCTGACCCCTCATGTCTAAGTTATGATGGCATTCAAAAACTCTTGATAGCAAGTAGCGCTAGATTATATAAATGCTTCTTGTGAAAAACAAATACCAGAGATAAGATAGACGAGAAAGACAATGACTTGAATTGACGGCCTGAAATGACATGACAGATCGACTTTCTAAACTTCCATGTTTCGACAAATTAATTTAGCCAGACAAACTTGAAATTTTTTGCATCTCCCTACCCCTGAAATTCGAACTCGGTGTGGTCGAATATAACAAAATGGTAGAATAAAACAAAAGTGCCGAATGATAGAATATAACTAGCATGCGTGCTGCTAAGCATGCACAATTAAAACAAGACTGCTCGTATCTGGGCGAAACCCTGAATGTTCCGACTGCCTTTTAAGGTTTATTGAGTAGCAGTAATAACATTAGAAAAATTAAATGAAATAAAATTCAATGAAAACTTTTTTTCTAAAATTTGAATTTTTTAAATGAAAATCATCCCCCCCACACGCCATATTAAGTTATAAGTGATAGATTTTGCTCCTAGTAACAAATCAATTATGGCAAATAAGCTTCGTTCAACCAATTTGGAACGATTTCTCAGACGGATTAACTCTCCGCTTACTCGTTAATAGCGCGCGAATTATATCGCGCGTTAATTGTTCCAAATTGGTCAAAATGGCCAAAATTGCAATCTTTAAACCCTCATAACTTTACAAAAAACAATCACAGGTGAAATATCTTTTCAAATCTAAGCTCATGACAACAATACCTTTCGAATGATATAAAAAAATTCAGTCAAAAATGGTTGGTTAAAAAGTCGAAATTTGTCTGAAGAAAAAAACCCACCCCGAGCACAAATATTCCGTTTTTTTTTCGCATCGAAAGTCGGAACAATAATTACTCAGTTTGATGCGGCACATATCAATCAGTTTGAGCTTTTCATGCAAATATGGGAAAACAAACTCGGATCTACTTGACAATCCCCCCCCCCCCCCTTATTACCAAGGGGGGGGGGGAATTGTTAAGTAGGTTCAGCTAGCAAATTAGTCGAACTTTCAGCCAATCAGAATGCAGCAAATTCTGAAACCGAGAAATTTCTAATTGGCAACAGCTGTTACACTTAGCAAATAAGCACGTAAAATGAACTTAGCAAATGAGCACGTAAATTATAGGGGGGGATTCTTAAGTAGGTACCATGGGTGGGGGGGGGGGGGATTGTTAAGTAGATTCACAAACTCAATTCTAACTACGCTAATATCCGCATCCTAAGCCAACGCATACCGGTCGCCACTACTGTCAAAAAGGTATCCAGTGGAAATTAAAAGTCAGAGAATTAAACGCTCTACGAAGTAATTTATTTAATAAAGCAGCCATAAACGACGACAGGAACTTACAATACTCAATTTTGATATCAACTA